GAATTTGAAGTTTGATGAAGCAAAGGGAATGGTGGGTTATAATAGGTGCCAAATAAAATAAAATAACAAAAGTTCTTTTGCGACTGCCCCTTTCTTTCCTAAATAGTTAGGGTATCAGCCACATCTTTTGTGTGTGCGCGCCCACCCATACATACACATACATATTTTGGTGAATATCTATGGTAATTTATGGTGTGGAAACCTAACTATGTAGTTTAGAAGTTGGCTAATCAACCAAACCTTCTGAATTAGTTGTACTTGTGCTTAGAGATCCATGAACCAGTTGTGATTCATTGTGCAGAGACCCAGCTCAGTATCATATAGAAGCTGCTCAAAGAAGTTCTACAGACGAAACCAAACCTTTTCTAACTTAAAAAACCCTTACATTTTAGGGTAGATCAAAGATTCTCAAAACAGAGTTAATTTTCAATATCATAAGACGTGTTACCATTCTTAAAGAACTTGTTGAAAGCTTCATACTGATGTATATGGCATGCATGATTGATTTATTGACAAAAAAGTCTCCTTGCCATGACCTACCAAGCATTTGATCCGGTGTTGAGCCTTCTGTTTTTGTGCATTATGTCTGATCAATCTTTACTTCAGGTGGAAAATCTTACTCGTAAAGCACAACATCAAGAAGTGGAATTGGAAAGAACTAGTAAACAGCTGAAGGAGGCAATAAGGGAAGAAACAGCAAAATGCAAAGCAGCAAAGGAAGTGATCAAGTCACTTACTTCCCAAGTAAGAGGAGTGTTTATTGTGTTCATTGATTGTATATGATAAGTTAAGGGGTTGCTTGCTTGTCTCACGGAAATAAAAGCAGCATTATTATTTTCCAAAGAATATTGGAGAAAATTATTTTCCAAAGGAAGTGATCAAGTCACTTATTTCCCAAGTAAGAGGAGTGTTTATTGTGTTCATTGATTGTATTGATAAGTTAAGGGGGTTGCTTGCTTGTCTCATGAAAATAAAAGCAGCTTTATTATTTTCCAAAGAATATTGGAGAAAATTACAATTTGTTTCCTCTGTGTTTGTGATGATTCTGTTCTTAACATACCAGATTGTTGTGAAACTCCAATAGACGAGCCGCTTACATCTGCTGTTGTTGTTTAGTTTTTAATTTAAATGATGCATTTGTGGTTCTGGAAACAAAAATGTTTTTCCATGTTGTTCCTATGGGGGATCTAAATTCTTGTTGTTTCTTGAGTATTAATGATCCTAATTGAAATGCAGGACGTCATGTTTTTACTCATCATTAAATTTGACTGGTGTGAGATGCTATGTTCTTGCACTGCCAAATTTAGCTACTTGTTTGTTTTATATTGTGGCTAACTATGATATTTTGCATCTTAACTCTGAATAAACTTCATTTGATTGCTTCCTCAAAGTACAGCTTAATCTTTAAAAAAAATCATGAAGCAACATTCTCTTTAGAATGAAAGGATTTGGTGGTAATAATACTGCTAGATGGTCATGTGAAGTTGTTTCATTGTTTGTGGTTATGTTCTAGTTTTTTAATTTTATTTTGTGTGTGTTAAGTCTTGTCTCCCTACGGCTTGTAAGACATCAAAATTCCTCTTATGCTTGCAGCGTTATTTAACATGCAGATGATGCTTTTATTTATTTATTTTTTGAATTGGCCTCTGATGCCACTCTGCATATCTTCAATCATGGCCACCATTGTTAATAAGAATTTAGAAGGGCTCGAGATGAGGTTTTATGCCCTTTAAATTTTAACCCCAAACATGGGTGAAAGGTTCCTTTCAAGGCATTATGATCCAGTGTTCCAAGGCTATATAAAAATATCTGAACATGAGTATTCAAATTCACTTTTTTGTGTATTGTTAGAAAATTATAAATTTTGATTATAATTATTTAGGGTCGAGTGGGGAAGAAGGATTCATGTAGCCGATCCCATTTGATGGGACTTAAGGCTTGGCTTGGTTTGGTTTGGTAATTATTTAGTCAGTAGTAGTTACTTGGGTATTTTTTTTTAATCTATTCACATGTCCCTTTATATGAATTTCCCACTCTTCTTTGAACAAAATAGAAATTGCCAAGGTTATTTATTCTATAAATTGTATATCTTGTTGAGCCAAAAAATGTTTATTAGTTTGAGCATTCTGAAGTATTATTGAATGGGAATGACTAGATTGGTGGCATGTGGAGGGCATTAAAGACCTCAGTCAAAGGTCAGCGATCTGCATGTAAAATATGTGCCTTCCATAGTCTTAGACACACACATAACACAGTTTTCTTTTGATTTGGTTCTTAATATCATTATGGGTAATATAAAATATTCTTATCTGAATGTATTAAATTTCAGACATTATTAGGCATGTGCTATATAGTCTTCCATTCTAATTAGCTTTAAACTCGATTTATTATGTATTTAGAATGATTTCTAAAACCAATTGGTGAGACAACTCATTTGTTTTATTTGTTGTTTATGTGCAAAATAGCTGAAGGAGATGGCTGAAAGGCTTCCTGTGGGAGCAGCCCGAAACATTAATCTACCTTGCTTTACTGCCTTTAGCGCCAATATTGTTTCCAATGAAGTTTCAAATGCTTCTGTTGACCGATTGAATGGTCAAATTACATTCCAAGAACCAGACTCTAATGGATCAAATGGCCAATTGCTTTCCAATGGGTCGAGCATTTCAAGTAATCGCAGTTCAGGGCAAAACAGACAAGCCCAGTCAGAAACAACCATGAGAAATGGGAGCAGAACAAAAGAAGGTGATTCTCGTAATGACAATGAATGGGTTGAGCAAGACGAGTCTGGTGTTTATATCACACTTACGTCCTTACCTGGAGGTGTCAAAGACCTTAAGCGAGTTCGCTTCAGGTATGCTTGCATCTATTTTTCTGCCAATTTTCCTTTTTTTGTAATATCAGCTAATTTAGATTGTTTAACATGAAATTCTTGCTAGAAATTCTTAGCTGATTTGCATCGTGGCCAGGCCATTGGGGCTGTTTGGTGCAAGCTTATGCAGCTACTTAGAGCTTTATATTTTGAAAATTTGTGCCAGAGTGCTTGCTGCAACTTCTGTTTACAATTTATGGAGCAGAAATAGCTTAAATAAGCTTGGCCATTGGGGCTGTTTTCTTTGTTGCCTTGCCTATGGAAGCTAAACCGTGTAGTTTTTGGTTGTAAAGGACAAGATTATCTAGGTTTTAGGTTTTTAGTTTAAAGAAATTTGATATTTTGGTTGTAAAGACAAAATTATCTAGTTTTTAGATTTTGGGTTTGAAGAAGTTTGATATGATACTCATTTAGCATCATCTACTAATGTTGGAATGCAGTCGGAAGCGATTTAGTGAGAAAGAAGCAGAACAATGGTGGGCAGAGAACCGGGCAAGAGTATATGAACGGTACAACGTACGCACAGTTGACAAATCAAGTGTGGGTGTTGGCAGTGAGGACTTGGCACATTGACACGTGGAAATGTTCATACGTACACGAACTGTTTTTTTTTTTCCCCCCCTTTTTCTTTTCTTCTTCCTGCTTCCATTAGAGGGAAGGTTTATTGATCAATTAGGTTAGCTTTCATCTTATTAGGATTGATGAAAGCAAGGGTTCTTTTAAAATGAGAGGGGTAGAGAGGTTTGGTTGTAGTTTCTTTCTTGTTCCTTTTATTTTTAAAATTCGATTTTTCATTTTATTTTTTGACCCTAAATGTGCCTTGTTGTGTGAGGGATTGATTTGAGAGTGAGAAATGTAAATTCTTAGTTGATTGCTGGCTCTTGTTTAAAGCAGCTGCCCTGTAAATTTCACTAGAGAATGCATCTTCTTCAATCACCTTGTTTTTTTCAGTTGGGTGCTGTACCAATACATTATGCTCTCTACTATATACTGATAAGGTATTTTTAAGGCAATGCCCTAATAATACCTCTGGGAATCAGATATTTGTGTGGGTGGCCTATGGATAGTGGCAGGATCTATACAAATGTATGGTTTGTAAGTAAGTTTGGCGTATTATTCGAAGAATATATAATAATTTTTTCACTTCCAATGAGGGTGATGTTTTTACATTTCCTTGACATGTTTGGTGACTAAGTGCCAAACAAGACCCCTGGTAAGTCCCGGTCCGTCAAGCTTGCTTAATTTTAGATTTTAACTTGAGAGTATTCAAAGCTTAAAAATAATTGTAAAGAATATGAGAACTTGAAAAACATTTATAGCAGCATGAAAAAGAAAAAAAAATAAATTAGACTAGGTCTTTTCTCTCCCTTCTAAATTTATTATTCTGACCCTCTTTCTCCGTTATTACTACCACTCTCCACTTGAATCCCAACCACCACTATCATCCTTCACTCGCCACCCCCCAACACCTTGTACACTTTCCATTGTTGCCTTTACCACTACTTCCTCTCTATCCTCACCATCACTCCTTGTTGCTTGCACCAAAACTTTGTTTCGTGACAGTCTAACGGGGATTTGTGGTGGGTGAGCTATCAATTTGGTGGACAAGGTAGACCATTGAATAGTGGTGGTAGTAATCATGGCAAGAAAATTTTTTAAAAAAAATAAAAATCAAAATAAAGATGGCAAGAGAGTTGATAGATAACTTGGCGATGGTGAGGAGGATAGAATATGGATAAAGAATAGCGGAGAGGGGTGACGGATAATTTTGTCTTAAATTTTTTTTTTTATTTTTACATCTTTATAATTAATTTTCAAAATTTCGTTTCATTTGCAAATTCTAATTGCTTCCCTCTGTTTTATTGTAAGTTCACCTTGAAAAAAAGACCATATATATAAAATGTAACAATAAAATAATAGAACTAATTAGGGTAAATTACAAACACACCCTCTGAGATTTACTTAAATTATAAATTATTTCATGTAGTTCTAGAAATTACATTATGCACCCTAAGATTTCTAATTTCATAACAAATAGGTCATTTTATTAATAAATTATTAAGTTAATTAACAATTTTTAATAATGTTAAAATTTTATTTTAATTAATAATTAAGATAGTTTTATTATTGTATATGTAAATAATTAGAAATTTTATTTTTTCAATTAATTCTGTTAAATAAAAAATTCTGACAATAAGGTATTTGTAATTTTTCAAATCACAAAGGACAATTCGTAATTTAAGCAAACCTTAGAGGCTGTATTTGTAATTTATCCAACTAATTAAAAAGTTTCTTGTTCAATAATCAATCTTGATTTCCAGCCCCAAAAAACCAAAGAAAAGAAAAGAAAAGAAAAAAAAGGTTTAATTAATCCAGTCAATGCCCGGTTCATTTAAGATCAAAAGATTCCGGTTCGTCAGTGACAAACACAAACACTCCTACCATGGCAGCGGTTTAACCCGGTTTAAAAAGTGTTTTCCGGTTCAAGAATAATCGTTAAACCCTTTCGATTTTGTTTTTTGAGGGGCACCGAAGAAAATGGATAAACCGAAATAAACAGAGGTCTTGTTGCTCAAGCCAATTCCATAGCTCAATTTTAGAGAGAGAAACAGAGAGGAAGAGACAGAGAGAGAGGGGGGCAATGGCGAGGGATAGCTGTCTGGCTCGAGTCACCGCAGGCGTAGCTGTTGGCGGTGCTGTTGGAGGCGCTGTCGGTAATTTCACTCTCTCTCTAAAACCCTAACGCCCACCCTCCGTTTGGTTTCTGAGAAAACGAAGGGGAAAAAAATTGAATTGTTTTGATTTAGTTGCTTTGATATTTTTTTCAATTCGAAGAATGAAAAACTTAATTTCCAGCCGCAGAGAAATTGGAAATAATCAATCGAACTAATAAAGTTTGTTTTTTTTTTTTGTGTTCATTCTGTTCTCTTTTGCGAATTAACTTTATTTATTGCTTTGTTCGTTTTATTTTTTGAGTTCTACAATCCATAGATTTTAATATTTTTTGAGTTTATAAAAATTCATTTATACAAGTTGAGCAGTGGTGGTGCCCGAGAAGACACCTATACCTGAAATTGACTAGTCTTGGAACAAATTGAACAGAATTTCTTGTGAAACAAACCAGCATAATAGTTACCATCTTCCAAATACCTCTTTACCTTCTTTTTTTCGTTGTCCGTCAAAACCTGAGAAAAGAAAGAATCTTTAAGCAATATTCTAACAATTATTTCAATCTGTGAATCTGCATTGGCATATTGTGTATGTCCACTATACTGGCCTAGTGGGTTTCCACCTTACCAGCATGGCATTCATATTTTGATATGTTTCATTCCTCCAGTTCAAATCTTATGGGGCTGCATAACCTTGAATTGAATGATAAAAAAGATGAAGGGCAAATTACACTAATAGTCCTGTATTTTACCCCTTGTGTCATTTTGGTCCTTATATTTTCAATTTGCTCGATTTTGATCCTCAATTTTTAATTTTATATCATTTTAGTCCAATTGTCAACACCGGTTAAAATTGTTAACAGAAAGCAAACACGTGAGACGCACATGACTCTTTTTCAAGGCCAATATGGACATTTCACTACCCTTTCCTTGTTTCACCATCTTTTTCCTCTTGGACTCTCTGCAACACAATCACCTGCCACCGTTGCTTTTCTCCACCACCAAAATCATCCATAGCCAATCCCAACATCAGCACTGTCCACTTTCACCACGCCAAACCCAGTATCGTCTGCCACCTAGACTACCAATTTGTTGAATAGATCGTCCTCGTTCAGCTCCTGATTTTTTCTCCATCTCCTTAGTCCACCCGTTTGAACAGAGGAAGAGAGAGAAAGAAGAGGCACATGAGGGTTGTTGTCGCTGCTGCTGCTGCTGCTGCTGTTGAGGAAGAAAGTAGAGAGCTTGCTGGTAGTGGAGGAAGGTGTATAGATCTAGCAACGAAGAAACCCACATCGTGTGAGCAATGGAATCAGATTGAACACATGGGGTCCTCCTCTTCTGATTGCTGCTGTGTCATGCCTATGCCTTCCTCACCTCTCCATGAATTTATAGCCATTGATGGCAGTGGCCACTTCTTCGATGTCATCTCTTCATCTCCCACCCACATTCCCTACTCTTTTCCTCCTCCATTCTTTTACCTCCTTTGTGTCACTCTTTATCCCATTCTGTTTTTGGGTTTTTTCGATTTGGGTCCAGTAATGGCAAATGGTGATGGGGTTATGGTGGGGAGACTTAGAATGAAGGACTTGTGGGAACCGAGCTTGGTTGAAGAGGAGGCTTTGAGGCTTCTGGAAGTTAGGTTTGGTGGGCCAACCAAGCATTGGATTGATGCTATCCCCATTGGAAGGAGAAGGTGCACAGATCTAGCAACGGAAAAACACACACCATGTGAGCTCTCTAGATTGCGATTGTGATCGTCCAAGGATGGCGAACGAAAAAACATCGAAATCAACAACGTCGAACTGCAAAACGCGTATCTTTATTCTTTTTATTTTGATTTTCACTTTGATTTTGATTTCGATTTTGATTTGTGATTGGTGGTGTTGTTTGGTGGCTGATGGTGGTAGTGATGTTTAGCAGTGGCAATGATGGGGTGGATTGACGATAGACGGTGGAGGAGGAGTGGCACAGGTGGTGATTGTTGCAGAGATAGAATGGGGAAGGGTTAGGATTGAAATGTTTGTTTTGCCCTTGAAAATTGACCACATGTTGCGCACAAGATTATTTTCTGTTAAAGTTTTTAACAGAAGTTATTGATTGGACCAAAATGAAACGAAATTAAAATTTAAGGGTCAAAATCGAGTAAATTGAAAACAGAGGGACTACAATGACACAAGAGGTAAAATACAGGGACTGTTAGTATAATTTACCCAAAGATGAAATATAAATCAATTGGCGAGCAAGAAACTATAGCTTCAAGGTTTTGAAAAGCGGTGACGCGGTAGCAGCTACAGGGTGTAAAGGCCATAGCGTAACGGTTGCGGTAACCGAAACTGTGATTTTTTTTATTTTTCGCACAATTTGAGCCAATATGCATATATATATATATATATATATATTTCAGAATCACATTTATTGGGTTTAAAATAAATTTGGATCAATTTTTGTTAATTTTTAAGTATGATCCAATATATTTCATATTTTCAAATCACTATAAAATGAGTTTTTTACATTTTATTTTAATAGTTAATGATTTTAAGAATAATTGATTTTAAATGTTTACAAATTATTTTTTACCAATATCTGAACTAACTGAATAAAAAATATTCACAATTATTAAATGAAAGGATTATGAAATAAAAATTGTGCCATAAATTTTTTTTAAAAAAATTATAAAGAAAAAAAATTCATATAAGATTTTTTCTTTGGGTTTGGATCACTTGAGTATTTTTTTTTTTTGTAAGCTTTTGTTTTTTATTTTTTGGAAAAATGAAGCTATTCAGAATATTGTAAAAGGGTGTAACGGTGTCTAACGGATCGTTACGGTACCACTATGGCCGTTACGTAACACCGAAACAATCATTATACATGTGAATTTTCATCACACTGCTATAGCGGCCGTAACAAGTAGGTAACCACCACAATTGCTACTGCTTTTTAAAACCTTGTATAGCTTCAACTCGTTTGCATTCTGCTTTGTATGTCTGTAGTTGGTTTACATTTTACTATTCCTATGTCAAACTCAGTTATATGATACATGTGCTCTTGTGCAGGTGCTGTATATGGGACCTATGAGGCTATTAGGTACAAGGTATTGTCTCTGAACCATTCTTGACCTTCATGTTTCAAGAGGCTGTGTAGGTTTCTAGTACTTCTTCTGTTCTCCATTTCAGTGTTGGTTGTTGTTGTTGTTGTTATTGTTTAAGAGGAAAAGACTTCCATCTGTTTGCTTGATTTCATTTATATCCTACTGCACTACTTGGATTTAGACATTGAATTTAACATGGTAGGGTCACATGGAATTGTGTAATATGGCAAAAATAAAAATTAATGTGAGACGTGATGTAATTTGTGATTAGCTGAAATCCTAAAATAAGCTTGTTTCTCATTGCCATGTTAGAAGATAACTATGGAATACAAAAATACTTCAGCAGATAACAAGTGGAGCTAATATTTGTGACAGTTGGCTCAAGGTAATACATGTCTGAATGGAAATTGGTTCAACTTATGCTTGAAAATTTTAATGGGCGTCCGTATAATTTTGCTCCCTTCTTGCTTGTCTTAGTTCATTATTGGTTTTGGCCATTTTTGTAACTTCAAGGCCAAGCCCACATAATTTAAGCTTTAAGCTCACACACGTGTAAATCCATATACATGTACCTGTCTGTTTTTCTAGTCCTCCTATGATCTCATAAGTTGATATACAGATTTGAGGTCATATAAAATTCTTCTGACCTATAAATTTGCTATTCTGGGAGTTCTAAGCAAACAGTAGAATTTGTGAGTGACCCCAAAGTGGAAGCTTTTTAGTGCATAATGGCGATTTAACATGTACAAGTTTTTGACATCTTATCATATTAGACGAAATAGACATGCATCTTTTTGTGCGCATGTGTGTGTGTTGTGCATGTGCATATGTGCAATTCTGTAACTAGCTAGATATAAAGGTTTTGCATTTAGAATTCAGGTCGTATTGATATTTGTCAACAAAAAAAAAAAAATCAGGTCGTATTGATATAAATAATTGGACACCCGGGCTCGTATGCCAATTCTGTTAACACAGGAGTCTTAGGGATTACTCTTAGTCAAAATTTGTTTGAAGTTCTCTAAGTCTTAAAAGAGCTCTATGCTTTTGTAGTATAAGCTACAACAGCCAACATATGATTAGAACGGATGGTTGTACCCTAACACTATATAATGCTTCAATTGATGAAATGGCCTTGTCCGCCTGGATTACCTAGTAAACAATCATTAAATTAAATTAAACGTGTCTTTTAGAGGAGCTCTTCTAATAACCAGCTACCAATAAACGTGCTTCAGGAAAAAAACAATCTAAAAAGCAACCAACCATATTGCAATTAATAAGTGCCAAGGTAAGGATACAAGTTGTTTCAATACAACTCAAAACTGAAACAAAGCAACCATTCTTGGTTTGGTTCTGAGGCCTTTCTGATTCAATTATTGTTTCAGAAATATAATTTTGGTGTGGTTCAAGGTTAATGAATCATGTTGAACCAATTTGAAAGCCTACTTCATATTTGAATGTGTATATATATATATATTAATTACATGCATAGGTTCATAATTTTGCAAATTTCCTCCAATGCTATTAGATATACTTTTGGAGCTGCCTAATTAATTCCCCCAAGGAGAATTGCCTCCACCTGAAAAAATAAGAATGCCAACAATTACTAGGTCTTGCCTTCGGACTTCCAGTTCATTCTGGAATTTGGACATGATAAACTCATGCGCTTTTGTTTTCTCCAGGAGTTATTTTTTTCGACCAAATGATCCAACTTTCTGCTACTACATGGCATGAAACCGAACTTTAATGTTTGTTTTCCACCAATTATAGGAAGGCACCTCAATATATATTGACAAAAACCAAACTAACCCAACACATGTAGTTTGTTGTCCCTTTGTAGTGGGTTAAGTAAGCACTTGTATTGTAGCAATTAAGGACATGATGGGTTTTAAAAGGAGGACCTGCCTACTTTGGTTTCAGCTATCATGTTAACAACCAGTTACACTTAAAGCTTAGGCTGACTGGGGCATGCATAAATATTTATATTATCAGCAGTCTCTGAGGTATCTGCCATTGGCCTTCCCGTGCCTTCATCTAAAGGTTTATTTTACAAAAATGCAGCATTGAAATATTTTTGCTTCGATTTTATTCTCACTTTCATGTCTATATATCATGTTTCTATTTGGGAAAATGCAGGTTCCTGGACTCCTGAAAATTAGGTACATTGGACAAACCACGCTTGGGAGTGCCGCTATTTTTGGTCTTTTCTTGGGTGCTGGCAGCTTGATACACTGTGGGAAGTCTTATTAAGCTCTGCTTTGATTGGTTCTCTTTTGTTTATGAGAATTGGTTGTCTTATTACATGCCTGTAGACAATTTGCATTGAAATCGTATTATTGCGACCACCCTTTTTCTTCATTTTCACAACTTGCCATGTGCTTCTGTTTTGTTTACAATATTTTTGTGAGGTATCATTTTGTGTTGTGTTTTCTTAGTTGGTTTTAGCTGTGTAATTACTGGCAGAGGTTCAAACTATCTTCTCCAATCTTTGATTAGTGAATGATACAATCCTGGTTGAGCCATGCCTTTCACATTATAAGCTTGCCTTTTCGAGTAATTGACTTTCTAAGCAGAGTTTTCAAGTTTGTCATGCTCGTATTTATCGTTAAATTTCGACCTTTAAAATAGGTTAACTACGTTTTCTTGGAAAACAAATTAAAGCATTATTTATTTGTTTTTGTAATGTTTTTATTTTTCCAAATTTGACCACAATACAATGAGCCTAAATAAAATCATATTTAGTTTATTCTTCTTTAGTATTATGGAGTAAAAACACATTCTTTATCTTTCAAGTCTATTTTTGGATGATAGGAATCATAGAGAAAGAATGAGAATATCATTATTAATAATGTGGCAATGTTATTCAAGATTTTGGCCTCTTTTTTTAAAAAACAAAAAAACAAAAACCAAAAACAAAAAGTGAAAAAATGATAAAATTTTAAATATTGGGAGTCTATTTCTTCTCCTTCCTTCTTTTTATTAAACTTTTTTAAAACTTAAATGGTTCACAAAGGACATAAATATTGAGAATACAAATAATAATCAAGGAGATCTTACGATCAAAGGTATAGTGATCTTTTCAATAACAACATCTCGTGCGACTTTAGGCACACACCTATACTTGCCTCACCTTCTTAGATGGAATTTGTTTGTCTAGTAAAAAAATTAAAAAAAAGACTCCAATCCTTGTCAATTAATTTTGACAATATGAGCACTTTAGAATAATTTAAATTCATATTTTTTAATTTGAAAATCAAGTTACCAAAATTAAAGGTGATAAAAAAAATTAAATATGATCTTGATAACAAATTAAATTATAACTTTTTAATTGTTTTAAATTAAACATTTAATTTTAAAATGATATCAATTCTAGAACATGAGTAATTTAAACAATTTTTTTTTTTTACATTTATTATTATTGATGGCGACCTTCTACTTTTATCTATCACCACATCTTCCTTCTATCCATGGTCATCCCTCCATTTATTTTCTTTGTCCACAGCTACTTCTCTCATGGGAGCTTTTTTCATAAATTCATCTTTAATTACTTATGTTCCATTCAATTCATATTCTTTTTGACTATTTCATTAGGTCCTATTTAAAATAAGAAGACCAAAATACCCTTTTCATCTACTTATGTTCTATTTAGTTCATATTATTTTCTTATGTTTCAATAAGTCCTATGGGTGACATAATTACCAAAATACCCCTAATGTGAATGTTCACACCATCAATGTGAATGTTCATATCGTCAATGTGTAGGGGTCCGGCCCATGTACAATGTGAATATTCACATTGACATGTTAACATTCACATTGATAGGAGTGTAAAATTAGCCCGCGGCCTGTGGGCGGCCCGGGGCTAGCCCGGTCCGGCCCGTGACAATGTGAATATTTACATTGACATATTAACATTCACATTGATAGGACTGTAAAATTGACCCGCGGCCTGTGGGCGGTCCAAAGTTCACTCGTTGATAATGTGAATATTTACATTGACATGTTAACATTCACATTGATAAGAATGTAAAATTAACTCGCGTCCCACGGGCGGCCCGCGACGAGCCCGGCCCGGCCTGTGACAATGTGAACATTCACATTGACATATTAACATTCACATTGATAGGAGTGTAAAATTAGCCTGCGGCCCGAAGCCCGTCCGCTGCCCGAGGTAGGCCCGGCCGGGCCCGTGACAATGTGAATATTCACATTGACATATTAACATTCACATTGATAGAAGTGTAACATTGGCCCGCGGCCCGAAGACGACAGCCTCGGGTCGGGCCGATGGGCCTAGGCCTAGGCTCGAGCTTAGGCTGGGCTTGGGCGGGCCTGGCCATTTTTTTTAATTCTTTTTAATTTTTTCTACCAAATTTTATTATTTTCCACAAAAAAAGACATTGTGTCTCAGGCGGGCTAGGCCTCGGACCGAGTCTTGAATGGGCCTTAAGCGGGCCGATGGGTTGGGCCGGGCTTAAAAGTGATGGCCTAGGCCTTAGCCTAGGGTTTCAAACATGCTCGGGTCCGGACACAAACGAGCCTGCCTCGGGCCGTGGGTGGGCTTCGAGCAGCCCACGGGCGGCGGGCCAATTCTACATTCCTATCAATGTGCATGTTAACATGTCAATGTGAATATTCACATTGTCAACGGACCGGGCCTAGCCCGGGCCGCGAGCGAGTTTCGGGCAACAGGCAAATTTTACACTCCTATCAATATTAATGTTAACACGCCAATGTGAATATTCACATTGTCACGGGTTGGGCCAAGCTCACCTCGGGCTGCGGTCGGACTTCGGGCCGCCTACGGGCTGCGGGTCAATTTTACACTCTTATTAATGTGAATATTCACATTGTCAACAGGTCGGGCCGGGCCCGCCCCGGGCCGCCCACAGGTTGTAGGCGGGTTTCGGACAGCCACGGGACACGGGCCAATTTTATACCATTATCAATGTGAATGTTAACATGTCAATGTGAATATTCACATTGTCAACTGGTCGGGCCAAGCCCGCCCCGGGCTGCCTACAGGCTGTGGGCGGGTTTTAGGCAGCCACGGGGCGCGGGCCAATTTAATACTCTTATCAATGTGAATATTAACATGTCAATGTGAATATTCACATTGTCAACAGGCCGGTCCCGTCCCGGGCCACCCACGGGCCGTGGGCAGGTTCAGGCAACCACGGGACGCGGGCTAATTTTACACTCCTATCAATGTGAATGTTAACATGTTAATGTGAATATTCACATTGTCAACGGGCCGGGCCGAACCCGCCCCGGGCTGCGGGCAGGCTTTTGGCCGCCCACGAGACGTTGGCCAATTTTATACTCTTATCAATGTGAATGTTAACATGTCAATGTGAATATTCACATTGTCAACGGGCCAGGCCGGGCTCGCCCAGGGCCGCGGCCGGGCTTTTAGCCGCCCATGGACCGCGTACTAATTTTATACTCTTATCAATGTGAATGTTAACATGTCAACATGAATATTCACATTGTCAACGGCCCGGACCGGGCCCGCCCCGAGCCGCCCATGGGCCGCGAGCGGGTTTCGCGCCGCCACGGGATGCGGGCCAATTTTACACTTCTATTAATGTGAATGTTAAAATGTCAATCTAAATATTCACGTTGTCAACGGCCCCGGCCCGCCCCGGCTCTCAGACGGGTTTCAGGCGGCCCACGGGTTAATTTTACATTCCTACTAATGTGAATTTTAAAATATGAATGTTCACATCATAAAATTGCTAACCGTTCAAAAAATATTTATAAGGGTATCAAAATTAAATATAAGGGCATAAGTGTCCAAGAAAATAGTGTAAATCAAGAAAAAGGATTTCATGGAATAAAACTATATATGCATGGGACTAAATGGGTTAAAAAATTCCTTCATGGACTTCTTGGGTTAAAACACTTCTAAATGAGATTTATCAATAATTTTCCCTTCTCTCATTCCCCAGCTCACTGTCACCCATCTCATTCTTTTCCCAGTCTATAGATACTGTCGCCATCCATTCAGCACAATCAACAAAAATGGGTTAAATTGTCAAAATTATCATTGTTCCCTTAGTTTTAACTAATGAAAGATTAAAATTGACAGCACTTTAATCCAAAAAAATAATAATAATAAGTACATTTTAAAAATTTTGAAGTTTGGTTTGGTATCAGCTTTTTTTTTTAATATAATTTTTCCAATTTTAAAACTTACATTTTAATAAGACACGTACTTTAAAAAAAGGGGAAATTGGTCTAAGGTTCCTCTCCCAATTTTAGTAATGGAAGAGATCTACAATATTATATTATGATGTCTAAGGTCCCTCAACTTCCACACCAATATATAACAGAGAAAATGAACTCTCTCAAGTCAATCCACCGAATGATTTCTCGTTGAAGAAAATCTAAGCCTACTATTTCTCTCCATATCAAGAGACCTAGCTTCTTCTTCCTCAAGCAGCTCTGCTTCGGGTTTCCTCCAGCCGTTGCTACGTCGATCACGGAGCTGATTTGCAAAGAAACAAGCCATGGACGCTTGCACAGAACAAGAGAGAGAGATGTGTAAAGAGATCTCTCTGGCACTCTCTCATGGAACTTCCTCAGAAGCCTCTCCCAGTTGAATTCAATTGACCTCTCCAACAACTCTCTCCAAGGCTCTGTTCCAGGCTAGTTCTGGTTCATCAAGACTCTTACTCACGTCAATCTGGCTAAGAACAGGTTTGGAGGGTCGATTAAGTTCGAACCCACTTCGGATGTGGTCCCATCTTGGTCAACCTAGGTGCTCAATTTGTCATCCAATAGGTTCACCAACTTGGCTAACCTCTTTGCTTTCCCTAACCTCTCTGTTCTTGACCTCTCTCACAATGATCTTAAAGTCTTGCCTTTTGGGTTCAGTAATCTAACCAATCTTCAATATCTTGACATCTCAAGCTGCCAAATCGAAGGAAATTCAAAACCCATTTTTGGTTCTTCACTCATTGAATCACTTGGATTTGTCAAACAACAAAATGATTGGTTTTTTTCCCTCTGATTTTCCTCCTCTGTTTGGCCTCAAATTCTTGAATCTCTCATTCAACAGTTTCAATGGTCAAGTGAGTCCGAACATGGTTAAAACACAAACAGAGTCGTCCCACCCGAGCAAACTCTAGAGAAATTCTGAAGTCCAGAGAAATTTGGTTAAAACACAGACAGAGAATCCAGAGAAATTCTGAATTTCTCTGAAGAGAAATTCCGAAGTCCATAGAAATTTGGTTAAAACACAGATAATCCAGATCATTTGCACCTTCTATCATTTTCATTAATGAGATAGATGCTATTGGTAGCAAACGTGGTGGACCTGATATTGGTGAGGTATGATAATAGGCTTCATCTTTCATGCCATTTGCAAACTATATATGTACATAGACATATCTTCTTGTACATATTCCATAGTGGTTATCTCTTGTGAGGATGTAACCTGTTCATCTTTAATTGTAGTTGTTGGAGTCTTCAACCAAACTACATCACTAGTATTTCAATCAATATGCACTTGATAGTTCCAACTGACTGCCTAAAATATTATTTTGAAATTTCTCTGTGATGTGTCCAAAGAATTTTACAGTGGGAAATTTCTCTGTGATGTGAATTTTCTCTGGACTGATTTTCTCTGGATCAACTTGAGGGACCTTAGACATTATGAAAATATTGAGTGTCCTTTATACTGTAAAATCTTAATATCAGGAACCTTAAAAAAATTCCCCTACAAAAAATGTAATTCCTATTTGAAAAATAATAATAATAATTAATAAAGAAAATAAAGCGAAAATAACCGTGTATAAATAAAATGAATAAACAAATACGACTACAAGTTGACGCTGCTAAGGAACTTAGACCCGAAGTTGGATTTTGGGTGTTTTGTCTACCTGTACGTGTACCCTTGAATTCAAATCAAACCTCACTCTTGTTCGTCTCCTCTCTCTGTAGCTCTGCTTTGTTTTTGAGTCCGTTTGAGATTTGTGTGCTGCGAAATCACAAGGTTTTTGGCATTTGATATACTTGCAATGGAAGCGAAGATCGGCAACTTCTTCGGTTCGGTTGGTAACTTCTTCTCCGGCGGCGATCAGATCCCTTGGTGCGACGGTGACATCGTCTCTGTAAGTATCTCTTCTGTTTTTCTCCTCTTCAATTCACTCTAATTTAGGTGTTTTTTTTTATATTTTATTTTAATTTGCTTGCTCAATTTCATCATAACTTCGCTTCGTTTGTACTATAGAGCGATTTGTTTAGTAATTAGGGTTTAGTTTTGATTGTTTCTCTTTGATTTTACCGTTTCATGCTTTATTTTTTTATTATTATTACTTTTAAAGTATCAACGGCTTCAAGTATTGTTTTGTTTGACTAGTTGTTTAATAAGACTTTGATTTCTTATTGTCATCGCTTAGTTATGCTAAATTTCTTAAGCATGGAAATTTCTTTATTTATCTGGAGTTGGGAGATATAAAATCTGTTTTGTTGAGTACATAAAACAAATTTTGAATTAACTTGTTCAATTTTTTTTGAATGAGTTAATAATGCAAAATGAAATAATTCAATTCGCACAACTAAACGGGTTTTCAGGGATATATGGAGACATTTTTAACTTGAATCAGTTCACTTGGATGTGATGTTTACAATATTTTATGATTTATTAAAAAAAAAAAATGTTTGCAATATTTTATGGTGATGCAACAATGAAAAAGTCTAGGTTCTTGTGGATATTTTGACCTTATGAATATGTATTTGTGTTGATGCATGTGACTTTGTTTGCATATATTTGGTTTTTTTAGGGGGGCTGGGATTTAGGTTGGTGATAAAATCATTCGTTTGTTGATGTGATACTCAAGTGAAACGAACCCTTTATACTGTATGAAGATTATTGATCCACTATTATACATGTAGAAATGTAAATACTCTCTTGAGAAGTTCAACCAATAAGTTTCTTTTCTTCTAATATAATTTTTGCATATGGGGGTCTAGGAGGATGGGATTGGTACAGGCCTAACTTTTTAACATTATTTGCACAAAGTGGCTACAAAAATTATATTAAACTGGGTATATTGTATGATGAAATTATTATAGTTAACTACTAATGTAAAGATGATCAACAGTTGTACAGGGAGGATGTTATAAACATCATATAATTAGATAAAGTGGTGAGTTTGATTGAGTTGTGATAAACTTTTTGAATCTTTTGGTGAGTTTTGGGTGTCCTTAATTAGTATTTTTTCAGTGTTTTTATAGTTTCTCTTAAAGTAGGTAGTTTCAAAGAGACATTTTTACTTTCAGTTGTCCTGAAGTTCAAAATATTTTAGTTCTTTGGGTGCCAGATCCTTGGTGTGTGGTGGAGGGCTTGTACAGAAGAGGATTAGTAGGTGTTTTAATGCTATTCTTAAGATGATACATTGCTAAAGTACGAGATGTGTTCAAGTTTTGTGGATGAGTGCCATAATATCCTTTATTATGAGAATTTTCAGTGTTCCAAAGGCTTGTGATTTTGACTAAATTTTGGACATTGAATGGTTCAATGTCCAAAATTTAACTGAAACAATTTATAATCTCATGGTTATTTGGTGAGTATTATACCATGAACTTTTCTTTTTCTATTGCTTTTGCATCATTGATGAATTTGTGATCAAGTAATGTTTGCCATTCCTGTAATATTTTTTTCTGGCTGTCATACACCTCTCTTATGTATTGTACCTATGTATACTACCATGGGCTTTTTTCTTTGGCCTGGTGATTTACTTTTATCGATCTTATTATTCCTTTCATACCATATGGGTTTTAAGGTCTATGGGAAGTGCTTCAAAAAAGTACTCTTACTATGTTCTGCAATGATTGTGGATGCCTCTAGCACAGATATCATGCCATAGCATGTCCAACTACTGTTGGTAATCCTTATTGTTTTTAAAGATCCAAACTGCACCAGGTGGTTGATTTGTTTGGGTAAGAACTGTTGCTTTATCTGGCTAGGTTGATTGTTGATGGCAGCTCTTGAGACCAGCAGTGTTCAATATAAAATTATAGCATAAACCATGTACTGCAAACCCCTTAATCTAATTGATTTTTAATAGGGTTAGCACAATACAATTCCAACTTACTCAAGATCATCACAAGGTTTTTGGCTTTATGTTTTTCATTCCCCAATTTATATCAAGAAATTTCCCTTTTCCTATGCTTTTGGTGTCATGGGCCCACATATCAACCGCTGTATTGAATCTGATCCCCGTGAAGTTCGGTTAATTTGGTCTCTTAGAATAACTTCTTTCTAGTTCAAGTAAATTTGATAGGGTTGCACATTTTAGAAAATCCCGTTTAATTACTGGTTTTCTTTCATTGTGGTCTATAGGCACTTGTGCTGCATGTAAGTCTTCTGCTTGTTTTTTTGTTTTCCCTGGCTCTTAGACCTTAATATGTTTGCAGGGTTGTGAGCGAGAGGTTGCTGAGGCTGAGAAAGGTTCCTCTGTTGAGCATAAAAGCCAGTGTATCACGAGGTTATCATGGGCTCTTGTTCACTCAAAACGGCCAGAAGATATGCAACGCGGCATAGCTATGCTTGAAGGTGAGAAACTAGATACGGAGTTTAGCATTATATTGTGTGTTTGTGTGTTGTTGGGCATCTTTGGCCTCTTAACCTAGTGGGGATTTTCCTGAATGCTGTTCATGAGCCTATGATTTGTACATGTGTGTGTGTGTGGATTTGAGGTTGAATTTTGTGTGGATTTGAAATGAATGGGTTGGAGGTTGTTTTTTTTATAAAATTATAAGAATTTAGCTATTGCAAGTAGATTGATAATCAAGTGGAGGATTCAATAGAGGTATGAGACATATATTTTGTTAAGGGCCTTGTACAAGTAGAATCTTTATGGAAGGATTTCAAATAACTATTTTCACCAAGTTATTTGAAATCCATCATTTTAAAGCTCTCAAATCAGTTCTTGGTATATAAATCTAAAAATATTATATTGAAATAAAGGTTTTACTCAAATTAAAACCAAACCAAAGCAAGCCTTAAGTCCCATCTAATGGGGTCGGCTATATAAATCCTTCTTCTCCACGCTGCCCTATCAAAGGCCATTTCATTAGTCAAATTAAGTAGATCTATATCTCTATTTACAACGCTAACCAACGTTAATCTAGGCCTACCTCGTCCCCTAACACTTCCATCTACCGTTACAGCATTGCATCTCTTCACTATTGCTTTATGTTGATTTCCGTTGAATATGACCAAACTATCTCAATCGATTCTCTCTCAACATATCTTCTATCGGTGTTACTCCTACCCATTTCTGAATACACTCATTTCTAATTTTGTCTTGTCTAGTTTTGCCACACATCCACCTTAGCATTCTCATCTCAGTCACACTCATCTTATCTATATGTTGTTTCTTGATTGCTCAACATTCCGTCTCATACAATATCGTTGGTCTAATAGTGGTTCTATAGAACTTACCTTTAAGTTTAGTGGGTATTCGTTTATCGCACAGTATCCCAAACACACTTTTCTACTTATACCATCCCGCCTTAATCCTATGGGCCACATCTGCATCAATCTCCCCCGTTGTTGTGATATTCGATCCTAAATAACGAAAATGTTCACTTTTAGGTAGTTTTTGGTTCTCAATCTTCATTTCTCCTCTGCTTTCATTGTTACTGTAACTAAATTTACACTCCATGTACTCTCCCTTAGTTCTGCTTATTCAAAATCCTTTAGATTCAAGAGTTTTTTTTCAAATCTCCAACTTTGTATTAACTCCTTCTCTAGTCTCATCTACTAGCACTATATCATCTGCAAAAAGTATACACCATGGCACGTCATCCTGGATATATCTCGTCAACTCATCCATAACTAAAGTAAAAATATAAGGACTTAAGGTAGATCCTTGGTGTAACTCTACAGTGATAGAAAATTCAGTTGTCTCTCCAGAAAGTGATCTAATAGTGGTCACCACCACTTTCTACATGTCCCTAATCACATTAATGTAACCTCTTGTCACCCCTTTCTTCGCTAACACCCACCATATTATATTCCAAGGTACTTTATCATATGCTTTTTCAAGGTCAATAAACACCATATGAATGTCTCTTTTCTTTCCTCTATACTTTTCTGTTACCCTCCTCAAAAGATAGATCGCTTCCATTGTTGACCTGCCAGGCATAATCCCAAATTGATTCTTTGACACCTTTGTTATATCTCGCAATCGACGTTCTATCACTCTCTCCCACATTTTCATTATATGACACATTAGCTTGATTCATCTATAGTTGTTGCAATTCTGGACATCTCCTTTATTTTTATAGATTGGCACTAAAATACTCTTTCTCCACGCAGTTGGCATGTTCCTAGTCAACAAAATTTTGCTAAACAACCTAGTCAATCAAGTAACCCCTTTTTTACCTAAACACTTTCAAGCTTCAATAGGGATATGTTAGAATTGACCATAACCCACTCCACCTACCACCTCCACTACCACACACACTCACCTACTTCACCTACTTTCCTACACCTACCACACACACTCACCTACTCCCAAATCCTCTCCTATATAATAGGAAGCCTTATAATATCAACAACACATCAATCTTGTAATATACACAATCAATCAATAATACATATATGTTTTCAGGATATCATCTGGTCTTAAAGCCTTATTTGATTTCATCTTCTTAAGTGCAATCTCCACTTCAAAGTTCCTAATCCTGCGATAGAACTTATAGTCTTGATGTGTCATATTACTGGCTATTTCTTCCCCTATTGCCGTACCTCCATGTTCCTCATTTAATAGTTTCTCAAAATAGTTCTTCCATCTTTCCTTAATCTCTTCATCCCTCACCAATACCTTAGAATCCTCACTCTTGATGCACTTAATTTGATTAAAATCTCTTGTTTTTCTCTCCCATATCTTAGCAAGTTTGTATATCATTTTCTCTTCCTCCTTACTATCTAGTCTAGTGTATAGGTCATCATAAGCTTTTAACTTAGCCTCTCTCACTACTTTCTTGACCTCTTTATTAGCCAATCTATAGCTTTTGAGGTTTTCCTCAGTTCTATCATTTTGTCACTTTTTAAAGCACTCTTTTTTTGCCTTAACTACTGCTTGAACCTCTTCCCTCCACCACCAAGTTTCCCTAGAGCTGGGTCCCGTTCCTTTCGACTCTCTAAGCACTTCCCTTGAGATTCTCCTCATACAATTGGTCATCAAATTCCACATAGTGTTAGTATCATCTTCCAAATCTCAAGTACCTTCCTTATCCATTCTATTCTTAAATATTTCTAATTTATCTCCTTTTAGGTTCCATTATCTCGCCCTACGACGCCCACCACCCTTCCTAGACTGGTATTGCCCTCTAAAACATAAATCTAGTACCAAAATCTTATGTTGAGAGGTCAGGCTCTCTCCAAGAATCACCTTACAATTATTGTATTTTAGGCGATCCACTTTTCTCACTAAGAAGTAATCTATTTGGCTTTTAACGGACCCACTCTTAAAAGTTATCAAATGCTCCTCCCTCTTCTTATACATAATATTGGCCACCACCAGGTCAGAAGCCAACGCAAAATCTAAGATACTCTCTCCAACCTCATTTCTATCACCAAAATCATATCCACCATGCACCCTTTCATAACCTAGTTTATCTATGCCTATATGGCCATTAAAATCTCTACCTATAACCAGGTTCTCTCCTATGGGTATCTCCTGTAAGATCTCATCCATTTGCTCCAAAAAATCCCTCTTAGTTTGATTATCTAATCCTACTTGAGGGGCGTATGCATTAATAACGTTCACTATATTTCCTCCAATAACTAGTTTAGCTAACATAATCCTATCCCCTTTCCTAATGACCGCCACTACATTCTTCATAAGACCCTTGGCAATTAAGATTCCTACCACATTCCTACGTCTATCCTTACCACTATAATACAGTTTAAAACCGGTATCCTTAATTTCTCTAGCTTTCTCACCCGTCCACTTAGTTTCTTGTACGCAAGCTATACTAACTGTCCTCCTAATCATAACATCTACCTACTCCATCGTCTTACCAGTTAAGGTTCCTATATTCCAAGTGGCTACCTTAAACCTGTAGTCTCGGACTAGTTTTTTTACCCGCGCTCGTCTAGAAAAACGCAAAAACCTTTGCCCATTTTCACCACACCCAGGCGTCGATGCGGCGCCCCTTGCTCACTTTTTGAAACACCCCGAGGCAAGCACAATGCGTTACTTGAGGGTAACGACCTAGCATTTAAACGATTCAAAGTAGGATTCATTTTCATAAGGGATCCGAACGACTTTTTTACGTGTTGGCTATTAGCTACCTAACACACAACCCTCTTTCTTTATTGGGGGGGCTTGGGACCAACGGAGTTATTAAGCAACCCCAACGAAATTTTGTATATCTCTTAAATCTATTTTTAACTACAAATCTGCTAAACTCTTAATACTTTGTTTGGGATAACCTACAAAAGTCAAAAAGTCAAAAAATTATTAAAAAAGTTAAAAAATCCATACTATTTGGGGAAAGTTTGTGGGGGAAACCTATAGGGAAAAATTATTATTTTGTCCTTTGAACTTAACTACCCAAAAGTTAAAAAGTTAGTAAGGGTAGAATGGTTATTTTGATTTTATTACAATATTTTATAACATATCTTTTCGTAAAAAATCAAAAAAATATTTTAAACATACATTTTTTTCTCTACTTTTTTAACTAAAAAAAATTAAAAAAATACACTTATATAACATATCCCAAACAACGTAATACCCGGGTCGGTCGGCTAAGCCGATTCCAGGTCTATGTGAACAACCTATAAAATATAGGGAAAATTAGTCTAGGGTCCCTCTCCCATTTTTTGTGATAGAAGAGATCCATAATATTATTTTGTGATGTCTAAGGTCCCTTAACCCTACACCCATATATCACAGAGAAAATTCACTCCCCCTTCCTCTTTCGTACGCAACAATTTCTTCTTCCCTCTCTCCGATTCACTAACTTGACCTCTGTGATTTACTGTTCACCATTATATCAAATGCATAGAGACTGGAATTATAAGTATATTCAGTGTCTTCTTCACAGAGTAGCTTTGAAATGCAAGATCTGTAACACTACAAATTTGAGATTTCTCTCAGATTAACGAGAAAGAGGCTTAAAAACACTCGGTGATGATGATGATTTGCATGTTCAAGTCCGTATTTGATTAGCAGTGATCAAAACCAGAGTTTGGAACGAAGAGAGAGGGGAAGTGTGCGTGAGTGTGTGAATGTCTTCCAACCCCACGTCTTTTTCCCTTTTACTTACCTGTTTTTGATGGTTAGTTTAGGGTCATTTTCAATAAGCATCCTTATGCTATGCATGTTTGCATACATTCATTTGTATTGCATGCACCGGGCTCACGTACAGTGTCCTCTACAACGTTATGACACCACCATCCAGTGTCTTCACCAATGGTCTGACACCACCATACAGTGTCTCCTATCCTTTTTTATTTTTATGTATTTTCTTGTTTTGTTCCTCTCTTCAAACTCAAGTTGGTTAGTTTCTATCCTCCTTGAGTTTGCGGGGGGCTGTTAGAATTGACCATAACCCACTCCACCTACCACCTCCACTACCACACACACTCACCTACTTCACCTACTTTCCTACACCTACCACACACACTCACCTACTCCCAAATCCTCTCCTATATAATAGGAAGCCTTATAATATCAACAACACATCAATCTTGTAATATACACAATCAATCAATAATACATATATGTTTTCAGGATATCATCTGGTCTTAAAGCCTTATTTGATTTCATCTTCTTAAGTGCAATCTCCACTTCAAAGTTCCTAATCCTGCGATAGAACTTATAGTCTTGATGTGTCATATTACTGGCTATTTCTTCCCCTATTGCCGTACCTCCATGTTCCTCATTTAATAGTTTCTCAAAATAGTTCTTCCATCTTTCCTTAATCTCTTCATCCCTCACCAATACCTTAGAATCCTCACTCTTGATGCACTTAATTTGATTAAAATCTCTTGTTTTTCTCTCCCGTATCTTAGCAAGTTTGTATATCATTTTCTCTTCCTCCTTACTATCTAGTCTAGTGTATAGGTCATCATAAGCTTTTAACTTAGCCTCTCTCACTACTTTCTTGACCTCTTTATTAGCCAATCTATAACTTTTGAGGTTTTCCTCAGTTCTATCTTTTTGCTACTTTTTAAAGCACTCTTTTTTTGCCTTAACTACTGCTTGAACCTCTTCCCTCCACCACCAAGTTTCCCTAGAGCTGGGTCCCGTTCCTTTTGACTTTCTAAGCACTTCCCTTGAGATTCTCCTCATACAATTGGTCATCAAATTCCACATAGTGTTAGTATCATCTTCCAATTCTCAAGTACCTTCCTTATCCATTCTATTCTTAAATATTTCTAATTTATCTCCTTTTAGGTTCCATTATCTCGTCCTACGACGCCCACCACCCTTCCTAGATTGGTATTGCCCTCTAAAACATAAATCTAGTACCAAAATCTTATGTTGAGAGGTCAGGCTCTCTCCAGGAATCACCTTACAATTATTGTATTTTAGGCGATCCACTTTTCTCACTAAGAAGTAATCTATTTGGCTCTTAACTGACCCACTCTTAAAAGTTATCAAATGCTCCTCCCTCTTCTTATACATAATATTGGCTACCAGCAGGTCAGAAGCCAACGCAAAATCTAAGATACTCTCTCCAACCTCATTTCTATCACCAAAATCGTATCCACCATGCACCTTTTCATAACCTAGTTTATCTATGCCTATATGGCCATTAAAATCTCTACCTATAACCAGGTTCTCTCCTACGGGTATCTCCTGTAAGATCTCATCCATTTGCTCCAAAAAATCCCTCTTAGTTTGATTATCTAATCCTACTTGAGGGGCGTATGCACTAATAACGTTCACTATATTCCCTTCAATAACTAGTTTAGCTAACATAATCCTATCCCCTTTCCTAATGACCGCCACTACATTCTTCATAAGACCCTTGGCAATTAAGATTCCTACCACATTCCTACGTCTATCCTTACCACTATAATACAGTTTAAAACCGGTATCCTTAATTTCTCTAGCTTTCTCACCCGTCCACTTAGTTTCTTGTACGCAAGCTATACTAACTCTCCTCCTAATCATAACATCTACCTACTCCATCGTCTTACCAGTTAAGGTTCCTATATTCCAAGTGGTTACCCTAAACCTATAGTCTTGGACTAACTTCTTTACCCACGCTCGTCCAAAAAAATGCGAGAACTTTTGCCCATTTTTCACCGCACCCAGGCGTCGATGCGACGCCCCTTGCTCACTTTTTGAAACACCTGGAGGCAGGCGCAACGCGTCACTTGAGGGGAACGACCTAGGATTTAAACGATTCAAAGTAGGATTCATTGTCATAAAGGATCCGAGCGGCTTTTTTACGTGTTGATGTCAAATCTGTTCATTTCAAATCCATAAATCCAAATGGGGCCTTAACCTTGTGTGGACTTGCCTGAATTCTTCCTGCTTCTATCTACGGTTTTTTCTATTTTCTTCATTTTTACTAAGTTGCCTTGTTCTTTTTATTTGGGTGATCAACTAGCTACTTTCTTGTGATGTGAAAAACCTTGATGTTGGCAGCTTCTCTAGCTGGCATTAGCAGCCCACTGCAAATGAGAGAGAACCTTTATCTTCTGGCTGTTGGATATTACAGAAGTGGGGACTATTCAAGGAGCAGGCAGCTTGTTGACCGATGTTTGGAGGTTTGATCTCTGTATTTTTGTTCATCAATTATGGCTTGTGAATCAGCATCCATTGTCTATTTTGCCGAGTTTTGAGATTATTACAATGCTATTAACTTGGGTCTTACATCTGGTAAAGATTGCCAACAGTAAGGCTTGTCCTCCATGGACCCTGCTTTGGCAAGAATCTCGTGGGCCTTGTTTGGGAACATGCTATTTTAATAAATTTTAGATTTTTTTCAAAAAGATGTACATAAAAGTAGAGAGAGTGATGCGATAACTTATAGTGACTTTTTAGCTAAAACTGAAGGTTGCCAAACGAGTTATTTTTTTTTAAGTTTGTATTTGACACATTGGGAGTGAATTTGTTGTAGATTGCACCTGATTGGAGGCAGGCCGAAACCCTAAAGAAAGCAATTGAAGATCGGATTAAAAAAGGTAACAACCAATGATCATTTTTTTTTTCTTGTGTTTTTATGTGTATTGAGACACAATCATTGAAACAAATTAACTTTCTGGACTTTGTTACCTTTTTTTTTCTTCCTTCCCTGTGAATGCAGATGGAGTAATAGGTATTGGCATTGCTGCAACTGCTGTAACTGCTGTGGGAGTTTTGGCTGGTGGGATTGCGGCGGCACTGTCTCGTAAGAAATGACCCCCAATTAATGTTGTATTTTGAAGAGTGAACGAAAAAACAAAATCCACCAGAGTTCCTTGTTTTCTATCCCTAAACATGTCTGGTCTTTCTTTAAATCTTGTGGTTGAACTTTAATGTTGAAATATAGAAGAATGGTTTGTTAAAAGCTCTCTTTCGTTCTTGAGGATTGTGTGGTTTGGATAGCCCGCCCTTCCATTCATTGGCATTACATACATACATACATATACACTCTTTGCATAGTTTTAGCAGTTTTATGAAAACCCTTTTATGGATATCCATTACCTTGACCAGTACTAGGTTTTACACGCAGAGAGATTGCAGCTGGCCAAAGATGTTTGTAAGATTTTGGAAGTGCACAAGCCACTCGATGGAGTGATGGGTGCCACACATCGGTTTCTTCTTCTATTTGCAAACAGCTTTCTCATAGTTTATATATTATTTTTCCTTGGCAAGTTCATTTCTGAACAAATTTACATGGTTGTGAGATAGTCAATGGTTTGGAAATCATTGTTGGAGCCAAAAATTTAGTCGAATCTTGGAAGTTGATTTTCGAATCATGCAATTTTGTTTAAAAATTGATATCTATCCAAACTATAAAAAAAAAAATGTGTAAATGTGATTCATAGGTACCAACAGAACCAAATACATATCAACACAACACGGCTCTCTCTATTAAAGTTTACAAAAAATTTTGATATAATTATATTAATTTTTTTTAAATTTTTTTTTATAACAAGGTTAAAGTAACTAGTTAATGTAAATAGAGTGTAGTAACAAGGGTATAAAATATACGCTTTGGCATAAAAATATGTGAATTAATGAATTAAAATCTTAAGAGTATATAGTGCAATTATTTTAAATTTGTTGAGTTTGATATATTGTTTTTAAATTTCACAAAAATTTAATATAATTTATCTTTTAAAATACTATAAATTAAGGGCAATAATATTTATACTTCAGTTTACTCTCAATTAAAATGACAATATAAAGTGTGTGAAGCTCAAAGTGGTGTGAATATCCTTAACAAATTTAATACTACAAGAAACTAATTTTCTAGTTGTTTATTCATAAAAAATAAAAAAAGTCAAAGAAATGTACTACAAGAAAACTCATGATATTAAAATAAAATAAAAATAAAAATACTATATATATGTGAGCACTTAGATTGATTTATTGAACCTTTGTCTGTCCAGTAATCTATCAAAAACAAAAACAAAAAAGCTAGAGAAGAAAATGGGCCAAGACTTAAACTCAGAACCACAAATTTAATAAGGAAGATTCTTATCACTTGGAATTACAATTAATATATGTTAAATATTTTATTTATTTAACTTGCACACACCACTATATATACATGCAGACTGCCTTTCCTTATCTGCCACGTGTCCAAACCATGATCTTAATTGGAGTCAACCAAGTGAGGGGCTGTGGTTGGTTTGGTGGGCTGTTGCCTTCTCCTCAACCGAACATGCAAGCCACCTCTCATCTTCAGTAGAAGAGATAAGGTGTAAGGCGGGTCCATCATCCTCTGTGCATGCCCACCCCCATCAACGGCCTCGATCTCAAACTCATACATCACAGCCGCAGCAACAGACTTCATCTGCACATAAGCCATCTCCTTCCCCAAACACATCCTGGGCCCACAATGAAACACAGCAAACTTAAACTGATCAGACGGCTGAAAAACCCCATCACCATCCAACCACCTCTCTGGCTTGAACTCCCTACAATCTGATCCCCACAGCCTCTCCATCCTCCCCATTGCATATGCTGAGTAATCTGCAAACCACCCTTTCCCCACGGGGGTCCCATCAACCAAAATATCATCCGCCAGTACCAATCTGGTATTGATCGGTACTGGCGGAAACAGTCGCAGTGACTCTGATATCGCTGCGTGCAAGTAATGAAGCTTCTTCAGCTCATCATAACTGAACTTGTCCGGCGAATTTGACGGCGATGCCAACGATAATTCATTGTAAATCAGCCGTTCGCATCGAGGGTGGCCGGCGAGTAACCAAAAGAACCAAGTCAATGCGGTTGAGGTTGAGTCCTTACCTGCAAACCAAAAGTATATCAAATGGTAAATTAAACAAATACTAGCGAATACCCAACAATTAAACATATAGTTGACTATCAAATAGAACAAATAGAGGGGTATCAAATAGATCATATATCGTTCATGCCTGCAAGAATGAAGCTAATCACTATGTCTCTCAAGAACTTCCTCCTCTCATCTTGATCATGGAACCCGAAATCGGAGGTGGAAAACATAAATCTTGATAACAAATCTTGGGTGCGTTCTTGATCTCTCTCTTCTTTGGATCTAATTATGCTCATAGCATAATCATTGATGACTGCAACAGCTTCTTTGTATTTTCTCTCACTTCCAATGTTGAGAAATCTCTTGATCTTCCATACTGCAGCCACCGGGGACATGAATCTATCTGAACTTGCCTCGACTGCATAATCAAACGCATGAATGAAGGATGAATTCGCCAATTTTTTAGCAGTTATTTCGTCAACAGCAGACCCCAACCATGCAGGGTCGATGCCAAATGCGACGTTGCATATGTTGTCAAAAGCAAACCTTCGAAAAACGTCTTGCAAATCGATAATTGTGTCGTTTTTGCAAGCGTTGGAGAGGAGTGGAATCAAGCGGTTGGAGAGATGGGACTGGACCGTGTTGGAGATGAAGTGTTTGAGTGAGTTGGTGTTGAATTCGTGGCTAGCGATCTTGCGTTGGACGGTCCAAAGGTGGCCGTCCACGTTGAAGATGCCGTGGCCAAGGAGATCTTGGAGAACTGAGGAGAAGCGGGAGCCTTTGGCGTAGTTAGGGAAGTTGGAGCGGAGGAAGTGGTCGAGGTTGGCGGGGTTGGCAGTGCAGATGACGTGGAAGAGGCCGAGGAAGCCGTTGACTTGGAGGGTGAGAGATGGGGTGGTGCAGAGCATGTCGGCAACCCAGTCGTGGAAGCGGTGGCGGTTGCGGAGGAAGCCGATGATGTTTCCAATTATTGGGTATGATTGTGGACATGGGGCTTTATTGGACGGATGGGAGTGAGAACATAAGATGTAGTAGTAGAGCAGGAGAGAGAGGAAGGAGAGAGAAATGGTGAAAATGGAGAGAGAAGTGTCAAGTTCCAACATTTTGGATATGTTTCTTTTGAGCAACAGATGAGAAAGAGAATGCAAGAAGAGTGGAAGGTTAGGTAGTTGTCACTTTATCATATGATGGATAATAGACATCTTATGCCCTAAATGCTAGAAAATGTGTCACTGTGGTTGACCCTACATATATTCATACAAGGGGATGATGTACTTTTTGAGTAAATTTGAACCATACGGCATAGTTTTATGGGCTGGACTTTAGTTCATCTTTTACAGGTTATTGGGTTCAACCTTATGTTCAGAAAAAAGATAAAAACAAAAAAATAAAAAGGGGTCAAAGAGCACCGAGGCACTCAAAAAAAAAAAAAAAAAAGGAAAAGAAATTGGTGCTGGTAAAATCAACCAACAAACTATTCTCTACCACAAGAAGAAAATCGAAAGAAAGAAAATGTATTCACAATTGTTTCAAAGGTATTCGTAACTGGAGATTACAAAGAAAGAAAATCACAATTTGTCCACCTCTAAGAGGGATTTTCTTTCAAATGTTGCACTTCCATGTTACTACTGAATGCATGTCAAAGTTCACAAGAGCAAGAGATTTAGATCATTAAGAATCAAAGAATACCCATGTATATATGCATAACCAAGCGCAATCTGATCCTACTAAGTGCTGGTTTATCTTCGTAGTTTTGATAATATCAGCAGAACCAAAAAACCACATCAAACAAACTAGAAGATTTGATTGGTTCATCTGAAGTAGGAGCATATTACCTAGGTGACCAATCCACCATTGCTCATGCATGTAGATATCCTTGGTTCTCCCTGTAGTGGTGTTTGAGTTTACACACTGGATTCTTTTGGTATATTCAAGGAATGCACCGTGTGGGTCGGCTGCAATTCTTTGGAAACACTCGCTTTTGTAAATGACAACCCTGCAGCAAGTGCTTAACCCAAATCAATTGCACCTTCGCAGAACCAAAGAGTTTCAGGTACAAATCGTTAACCACCATGATAAGGGTATTCATGAAAAAACTATAACCATCATCTGTTATTTTACCATGCAAGTGATTAATATGAACTACAGCCAAATGGGGGTTCACATAAAATTCCATAAAGAATTGCCCGATTAAGATTAAAGTATTCAGAAGGAATGGAATTCTTAGTTCAATAAGCTAAAAAGCTTCTCTTAGAGAGGCTTCAATTCAATACTCAGCTTCGTAGCTTTCTGTTTGAATCAATTTTGAAGCCATGGTGTTGTCCCCTTTGTTTTTTAGTGTTAGTCTTGCTTTGTTCTGTTTGGGTCTTTTTTATTTTCTCTGTTCCTTTCTCTTTTCCTCTTTGCTTAGTTCTCTTATAGGCAGATCCAAAAAAATAAAAAATAAAAAGAAGATCATTTAATCACCAGAGGGATCTACATATAAATATATATATATATATATAACTTGATACACAGATAAATGCAAATTCAATCATATATGCATTCAATCAAATATAATTTCATACAGATGAATACATGCAAATTTGAACATATATATACATGATTAATGCAGTTTAAGGATAAAAAAATTATGCCTAGTAAAGTGAATAATGGCAAATAGTATTATGATTAATAGCTCTAAGCCTCCAACAAATTGCTGCAACAAAAAGCACACTATATATATTTATGTTTTTCATTCAAAAATTGAATGTATAAAAAAGACAATGTAAATGTCATCCAAGTCTGATATTGGAAAACGATTATTGTAGTTTTAGGTTTTTCAGTAGTGATTTTGAATTTCGAACGCCCTAGTGATTTTCAATAGCATCAATTTGGTTGAATAGAGAGAGAAAGAGAAAGAGGAATGAAGGATTCAAGAAAACTAAACTGGTATTTGCGCCACCGACAGAGAGAGGTTGCCGGAGATGAGACTGGCGGCGGCGTTGGGTTGTCCGGCGACGACGGAACGAAAGGTAGAGAACTCCGGTGTCGAACTCCTCTGCAGGGTTTTCCTGCAGCGCATCCTGCAGTGCAAGGCAACGACGTCGTTTACCCCCTTTTTTTTTTTTCCAGCTTCTTAGGGCTTGTTTGGTTTGTATTTGAGAAACATGTTTTGAGGTAAAAAGTACGAAAATTTGTTTGGTTTGGTTTTTTTTCAAAAGATGTTTTGAAAAATTATTTTGAGAGAGAGTTTTGAAAAAAGTGATTGATTTGATGTGTATGAGAGAGAGATTTGTTTAGAAAACTTGTAAACCAAACAAGTTTTGAAAAAAAATTTTGGAAAAATTTGTTTGGTTTGACTACTTTTAAAAATTTATTTGTAAAGAATTTTTCTCAAAATTTTTTGAGAAACTTAATCCCCAAAAGTTCCAAATCGAAAACTAGAGGCACACTATATATATTTATGTTTTTCATTCAAAAATTGAATGTATAAAAAAGACAATGTAAATGTTATCCAAGTCTGATATTGGAAAACGATTATTGTAGTTTTAGGTTTTTCAGTAGTGATTTTGAATTTCGAACGCCCTAGTGATTTTCAATAGCATCAATTTGGTTGAATAGAGAGAGAAAGAGAAAGAGGAATGAAGGATTCAAGAAAACTAAACTGGTATTTGCGCCACCGACAGAGAGAGGTTGCCGGAGATGAGACTGGCGGCGGCGTTGGGTTGTCCGGCGACGACGGAACGAAAGGCAGAGAACTCCGGTGTCGAACTCATTTGGGGGTTTTTGTTTCGTTCGATTCGAGTCATTTTTGACATTCATGTTTATAGCGCTCAAGAACCGGTTCTTCCGGTTCATTGTTTTGCATAAACATAGCGGGTTTTTTTTTTTACTTGGGGTTTAAGCTTAGGCAACAATGCTACCAGCATAAAAAAATTCGTACACTGAAACTCTTACATGAGAGTGGTGTATTAAAATAAACGAAAATTTACGCATTTTAATAGGCGAATTCATTATTTAATAAGTTTTGTGGTAATTAATGGTTATAATTTTATTTATTTAAGATTAATTCAAGTAGGAATAAATTCATTAATTCAATAAGGCAAAAATACTTTTGTTTTATTATGTTTAAGAGATGTCCGATTTATTAATTATAATGCAAGTGTAATCGGTATGATGGAATCCGGCCTCCATAAAGGTCCTGTCCATTTTAATTGTTTTCCTGATTTTACATTAAGTTTACGTGATCCTCACATATTAAAAGCTTTAATATTGAATATTCAACTATTTGGAGAATTTACTAATATGTTAGAAAGTGTACATAACATTGCTTTAATTTACAGAATCTATTATAAATGTATTAAAACGAATTTAAATGTTCAAGTTTTAACCAAAAGTCCAAAGGATAAAACTTTATTGATTCAAGGTAGTACCACTGCAACCAATATTGCTGTTCCCAAAATGATTCAATGGAAAGATATCAATCTTCCTGATGATTGGGTTACTGTCAATGAAAATTATTCCCAAAATCAACAATCTTTTGATAGTCAAGATATTCAACATATTCAACAATTTACTGATGGATCTGTCCATATTAGATTTAATAGAACTTACAGTCAATCTACTAGACATAATACATTTAGTTTACCTACAGAAACTGATGAAGATGAAATTTTTAATATCTCGTTATTCATTAGAAAAAACAGAAAACTTCACCTTAATGAATCCATCTCCCAATCTCATCATAGTAAAATGAAATGAATAGATAATTCCTCTACCTCTTAAATTAGTAAACCTGTTTACTTTACCCATACACATCTTCAAGAAGAAGATACTGTTTCTCAAGATTCACCTACTCAAACAGATTTCGAAATTGTTCCTCCTATTAATCCACAATTATTAACTCTTAGTAAACCTTTTACTCCATATCTTAATAGGCTTCATGTTGAATTTAAATCTAATACAAATAAGTTGAAACGACAAAATTATTGAAATACTTATGATACAACACAACAATCTAAAATTACCAAAATCTTGTATAAATTTATGATAGAACATAATATTTAATATTATTAATTTCAGAACAGTAAAAGGCAGCCATCACTTTTTGTCACTCACCGAACGTTGCAGCTGGCTCCCATGTGCCCTTTTCAGTCAAATTCCCTCACAAGGCTCGCAGTAAACCTCACAAGGCTCACAGTAAACCCCTTATGTCTATAAAAGAGCCTTTTCAGTCAAGAATAAGGCAGAGTTAGAAAAATTCGAGTGCTCATTCTCAAGAAAAATAGTTATCTCTGTAACTTTATATTTTCAAATTTGTTTTCAAGTTATGTATTTTGAAGAACTGTTTGCTTCATTCCAGTAAACAATTGAAATTAAATTCTTTGATTATTTAGAAAATTACTACCAAAACATAAATGTAATTACAAAAACCAAATGGAAAACTTCTTCCAATACTGTTGTCTCCGCTAGTCATTCTCCTTTAGAGAAAATCCTTATTGAACATAAAGGCACTGTTGTCCCAGCTTCTCCATTCAAACTCCCAGGTGATGAATCCTCTGAAGTTAAAAAAGTAATTGAACAAAATAACTATACAAATCAATGTTTAAAAACTATTGGCAAACAACTTGATAAGATTGAAACTTCTTTTGACAAATATTCAGATAGTCATACTTATGTTAGTAAACTTTTAGATAAACCTCTTATTAATCTGTCTAGTAATAGAAAACGATTAAGTTTAAATACTCAGGACCATACCACTGTTGATGCTATTGAAAAAATATTTAATCAATTATATACATCCACTAGTAAAGACATATCTACCTCTAACATTAAGGGAATTACTGTCTTAACACAACAACCTCTATTAGAATTTCCTATTCAATCTGACACATCTAGTGACAATGAGATTAATCATCTAGCACAACAATTTCAACCTTTTCATCTTAATAAAATCACCTATTCTAATGCTACAAAAGTTAACCCTACCACTCTCACAAAAAATTGGTATACTAAACCTACACCTCCTGATCTCCAATTTGAAGAAACAAATATTAGTAATCAATTTTCTGTTTCGGCTAAAAAATTATATGAATGGAATATTGATGGTCTTAGTGAACACTAAATACTCCTAAAACTCAATCATTTATCTATGGTCTCTAATAGTTATCTTAATAATTATCCTGATTATACTCAACCAGAAATCGTCCTCTTAATCACTACTGGATTTACCCTTAAAGCTTGGTGGGATAAATATCTCACTTCTGATAAAAAAGAATCCATCCAATATGCTGTTCAAATGAATGATGAAGGTTTTCCCATTTTTGATGAAGAAATAGGTTCCACTATACCTGATGGTATTAATACATTAATATATATCATAGTCAAACATTTTATTGGAACACCTACTAATATTCATTCTCGTATTCATGATCAATTAAGCAATTTAACCTGTCTTACTTTAAGTGATTTTCGATGGTATAAAGATGTTTTCACTTCTAGAGTAATACTTAGAGATGATTGTACTAAGTCATTTTGGAAAGAAAAATTTATTAATGGATTACCCAGCCTTTTTGCCCATAAAATTAGAAATGTTCTTAGTCAAGCCTCTGGGATTATTGAATATGACAACTTAACCTATGGTGATATTATTAGCACTATTCAAAACAAACATTATATTGACAAATATGTACTTTGGGTAATTTATATTTGATATGCATTTGACTTCTATTGGCAGAACTTAATTGTTCAGTAGTTTTGTGGTAATATTTTGTTGGAATTAATCATTCTTGAGTACAATTTAAATCTGCACCAGTATCGATTAATGCAATAACTTCTTTTTCAAAATCATTAATAACTAATTTGATTTTTGAATACCATTTTTGAATATTAATCTGATGAATTAATTTGATAATTAATGATAATCATAAATGATAATAAGAAATTAATGATTTCTTTTATTTATCAAAAATGATTAAAAAATATCATTAATTATTAATTTTTAGCAGTAGTTTAAAAATTGTCACAAAAAAGTTACTAATTATAAATTTTAGGGACAGTTTAAAAAAAGTTATCCAAAAATGTCACTAATTTTTATATTTCGGTGACAGTTTAAAAAATTTATTATAGATAAACGTTATTAATTATAAGTTTTAACGACAATTTATAAAAATAATGACAAAAAAGTCACTAATTGTTAATTTCTAATGACATGTAAAAAATTATTTTTAAGGACGATTTTACTGGGACTAATTTTCAATAGAACTTAATGAGAATTAAGTTCAACTATTAGGATTTATTGATAATTTATCCTAAAAAAAATAATTTATAAATAAATAAATTTATGACGTAGCTATACTTAAAACTAAAATGTGAATGTACATGATGAGGGTGCTTGCGAATTGAGTTGGATTAGGTAGTGTCTCAATCCACTATCCATTTGAATTTAAGTAGATTGAAAAAAATTAGTCTGCATCCATTCGCTTATTTAACAAATGCGGATTAAGTGGGTTGTGTGGATTGACGGATGAATACAGATTGATTTGCCGATTTGAATTTTATTATTTTGGGTATTTTTTTCAATTATTTTTTAGTAATTTTTTACTATTTTGTGTTCAAAATTTTTAACTATTCATTTTTTATAATAGAAATAAAGGTATAAATTTTATATTTTATAAATAATAAATATAATTATTAAATAAAATGTTTATTTTTTAATACACAAAGCATAATTTTATTTTCTTAGGAGTGCTAGCAGATTGAGTTAGTTCTAGTGATCTCATCTATTATCGATTCAAACTTAAGTGGAATGAAAAAAATACATTTACATCCATCTCTTTGAACTATTAAAATGGTCCATTTTGTAATAGATTTATTGAGACCATTCAATCGTGGCTAATTAAAATGAGTAAATGCTTGCCCAACCTAGTGGCTAGTATATACAACAAAATTATTATGGCTATGTTAAAAATAGTCACATCTATATTATAATTATTTTATTTTTTTCTTACAAAAATTAAAAAAAATAAAAAAAACTCATCCTAAACAAAAAAAAAAAAAATAATAATAATTTTAACCCCAAACCAAAAAATTACATCTCAAACAAAGGCGATGTATTACAATTAGAAACACTGATAAACCCTCAAAAAACCATATAGAGGCTATCGCGGTTGAACCGGGTTCCCTGTGCACCACGGTTCAGAAACCAGGTCAGTTTGGTTCCGGTTCATATAAGTCCTTTCTAGGGCACGAAGCAGGTCACTTGGCGCGGCTTCACTCTCAAATCCATCCCCCTCTCTCTCTCTCTCTCTGGTTCAATCCGGCGACGGCGGCCACAGGGAGATTCACGGCGGCGGAAAGACCTCACCTCCGGCGGCACTTTGTTATTCTTGAAGTGACAATTTTAAAAAAACTTATCAAAATTTGTGAGTTTTGACATAGCATTACCCTTTGGTTCTACTACTTAGTCTTTTACTTATATTATTCTTCCAACGGCTTATTATTATTCTTATTGATCTTCACTTCACATTTAGCTTTAAAAATTAAAAGATATATATACGCATATAGTTGTGTATATGGTGCACTTTGATATTTGATATGCTTGCTTGCTTGAACTGTTTGTTAAATTTTGTTTGATTTTATACATTGTTAAGATGGTTTAAGAAACCTTCTCAGAAATCAAGAATTTTTTTGAAGGAAACTTGGGATATATATATATGTATATATGGTTGATGATGTAAAGCTATCATCGTTTTTTGATTTGGTATTTAGGGTCCATGATCAAAAGGCCATAACACTGATTTTGAAATGTCAACATTTTTTAGTTTGAAGTTTTACATCAATATATTTGTCTTAAAAACTTGTTAATATCTCCAAGTCGGTTCACCCCCTGATATGCAAGTTTAATTTTAGTCTTGGCAATTATTGTGCTGCAGAGCTCGGGTTTTCAGTTTGTGCATCCGCAACAAAAGAGAATTATGGCAAGTCACCTTGCTCAAGGGGGGCTAATTATTCAGGATGAAAACATCGACATCCACCGCAAAAGTACAATTCTAAGTTCCTATTATGTCCTCATTGATCCTACTTAGGAAATAATCAAATAAAAATAAATAAAAAAAAAGATGGGAGAAATTCCTATTGAGTCCTACTTTTGCTATAAAATTCCCATCAAGTCCTATTAACACTATAGTGAGAAGATTGATTCATGTGTTAATAGGACTTGATGGGAATTTTATTTAAAAAGTATGACATATGAGAATTTTCCCATTAAGGAAGTTAAGGGGATACTATCTGAGCTAGGCGAAAATTCTGAAACCCCCTACATGAGATGTCACATAATGATTTTGCATAATTTCACAGTCATGATTACATGTTGGTGCCTTCGGAATCTTTCCCAAACTGTACAGTCACTCTGAAACTTTTTTCTTTACTAAATTGAGTTAATTTTCTCATGTAGACCTTGTGGTGAATGGAACAACCAAGAGTTCGAAACCAGCTTGCAAGAAAGGTGGCATTGGGCTTGGAAGTCGTAAAGCTCTCAATGACATTACAAATAAGTCATCCGTTCATCATGAAGCATTATCAACGAAGAAGAGTTTACCAAAGGAGGAGTTTAACATTGCCGAGGAAATGTTTTTGCACGATCATAAGAAGTGCATTGAGTCGCAGCTAAAAGCAATGGAGCCTTGTTTCTTGGACACAGTTCTTCCTGGACATGGTAATTTATTGATACTTGTAAACTTTTGATGTCTTTTGCTTAAGCTTGTACATTCATCTAGGCCATGGTGAATGTTGCATGTCAAGGTTTTTTTATTTCAATTTAGAGTTTAATTTTGTTTTTGGTTGAAATCAAATAACCAAATTTCTATTTACTTATTATGATTATATTGAGATTATGGAAAAAGGCCTCTCAGAATTTACCCTTGAGGCTTACCAAGTTTTGATGGACATTCAAATATTTTGGTGCATCAAATTAATTTATCCCAAGATGGTGTTTCTAACTCAAGAATAATGAACACATGTACTGGTTCTTAAGCTTCCATTTGTGCCTTGAGATTTGACTGAGTAGGTGCAAATAAATATTGAACATGAGATGATCATTAAGATTGAACTACTTATTAAAATAAATAAATAAAAAAGATCATTAAGATTGAATTCTGAACGGGTTTATATTGATTCCATATTTTTTTTATCCTTTTTTTTTACCCCTTCATAATTAGTTTCCTAGCTGTAAGTTGCTTAGTTGTGTCCAATACTCACTCAGTTTCTCTTTGCAGATTCTGTTTCTCATGTTGACTATCCCAAGTCTAAACGAGCCAAGGTTTCATATTTCTTCTATTCTTTTTTCTACAGTAGTAAAATTTAGATTCAAAAGCAAAATTAACTTTAAACACATATCATTAACAGGATCACTAATCTAATTATTTGTATTTGTGTGCTTCAGACTGATCTTGATAGCCTTTGCTTCTACCCAGAACCAGTGGAGTTGCCAATGTCTGAGTTCTCTGATTGGTCAGTGGTTTCAACTCGAAGGGACGACTCTCCTCAATCTTCTCCATTGCAATTGGATTCTCCACCTTACTCCCCATTTGTGTGGGAACTAGAGCCTGTTGACTTTGTGTTGAAGGAAGAACAAGATTGTTGAATGTCTTTGTTGCTTATTTGGCTTTGCTTATACTACTTTGTAACTTAAAAACCACTGATCTCACAAATTCACTTCTCATATGAACAATTGTATAGATTTTTTCTTCTCGTGAGGAAGTTTAATTGATTTGCTGTATTTTGTGCATCTTCTTTGATTTTTATGACATTGAAAATACATTTTATGGCTTCCTTTTTCTAATGTCAGTTATTATATTGTAGCTACTTTCTTCACGTCTGATTTGCGGTTAGGATACGGGGGACAATTTAATCCCTAGATAAGTTATCCCAATGGTATTTTAGTCAATTTTGTGTTGAAATAATTATTGTTAAATAAGTTATCCCGGCATATGCAAGGTAAAAGGACCTCTAGAGCAAGTCATCTCGAGTCCAAACGGTAGATGTTTTATCCAACATAAAATAGTCTCATCCAGCCCACTTATCCGCAAATCAAATGTAGCCCGTTTTGTATATGCAAACTGACTAAATAATCTTTTAAGCTAGAATATATATCCGACACTTTTCATGAAAATCTACTCAGCATACCCAATATCAAACAACTTAGGATTGGAACATTGCCTAAATTGTGAGAAATTACTACTAGATCCTTATACTAAGATAACACCAAACCAGTTCAACATCATACAGAATTATAGTGCAGGAGTTCTAAGTCAGTCAAACTTGGAACATCCTCTCAAACTTTAGCCAAACCCCAAAACCTTTTCATTGTCTTTCCTTTTTGTCAACTTCTATTTGTTCAGTCAGCACATCTATTTGTTTACTAATTCTGTTTCTTTCACAGATAATAGTCCGGCCGGCCAATCGGGTTGCTCTCACTCAGTCACTCTCCTATCTGCAACAATGCGTATTGTTTTACTACAGAGCCCAATACCGCCTTCAATATTCTATTCTATTATTTTCTTCACCCACCAGCACAAAATCAGTTAGTTCTCATAATTAATTTTCTTCTACTTTATTTACATAACTGAATTCTTTTACAAAATAACAGAAATGGTTGGTGTTGTACTAGCTGCTCTTCTATTTCATGTTATGCCTTGTTTATCTCAGGATGGCAGCTCTTTCAGTCTTTCTTACAATGGGGGGAACATCTTGACACAACCGGTGACTATCTCTCTGATATGGGTCAGTACTGATTGGCATGAATCGAGCCAAGAAGCTATACGAAATTCAATTACTTCTTTAACCCAATCGCGGTATGATCAAGTTAGTGGTTCCGACGTACCAACTTTAGGAAACTGGTGGGAGATCATTAGACAGTACACAGACGGTTCAAATTCTCCTGTGACTGACAAAGTAGATGTTGGCTCCGAGTGTTTCTACATTGGTCCTCACCTCGACATGACTCTAGACCAAGTGGTTGGAATTGGGAGATCAGTCTTCAACAAGACCTCCATTGATGAGTTTGGAGGGAACTTAACTTGTACTGGAGTTTTCGAAGTAAATGACAGGACTATCTATCATGTTCTGTTCTCTCACTCAGTAAATTTTCAACATGGAGAGAACCAGAGGAAACTGATGGAGTTGTGTAGGGGGGATTTTGCAGTCCCAGTCTCTGCTGATGTGGATGTGAAAATGGCATGGGCTAGAGCCCCTCAAAACCCCAATGACCAGTGCTCGACGTTTTTTCGCGGAGATTATTACTTGGGACCGCCTAATGGCGATGAGAAGATTGATAGCTTAGTGGGTTATATACTGAGTAACATCGCCGAGAAGGTTACAAATCGCGATGGAAGAGGGTGGGTTGGCAACGATGGAAGTGACCAGACAGTTAGTTCTTCCTGTGCTGCTTTGTTTCCAGGAGAGAGAGCCGGTCCACCTCTTTTCATGGATATGGAGAGGAATGTTAGCTTCAATGTAGTTGGCTTGAATGGCTATAGATACATGGTGCAATACATTTGGGATCAAAAAATCAAGAATTGTGCCCTAAAACCCTCAGGTACCTAAAATTTTAAACTAGTTATGGACTTTGGTATTGCTAATTAGTCTTCATTGCAATAATCCCAATTAGTTCGTTTTAAGGGGGTCAGGCATACATCTTGTCTTTCCCAAGATCCCACTTTAACAGGAACATCATGCACTGTATCAAATTTTATTTTTTTACAAGCCTCTTTCTTTATGAAATCTTAACTAGAACTTGTTTGTATATGCAGAAATCTGTGGAACTAACGCACTTACTTTCAAGCAGCCAAAAGGGTATTTGAGTACAGGGATCGTAGCGAATCACACCACCGGTTTGCAGCCATACCCACCAAATCAGAAGTGTCGGTGGAAAATCCAGTACCTGACTGCAAAGTTCATTGGATTTACTATCAACTACCTCTCACTTGCAGCAGACACCTATGATCAACTCAAAATCTGCCAATCTGATTCAGGCCCTGCACAATGCTCAATTTTTCACTCAAATGGTGAAAACTTCAACAAGAACTTCAAGATAACTGGTTCAAAAGCTTACGTTGAGTTCACAAGTGGTGAATCTGTATCATCATTCGAGTCAACAGGATGGGAGCTCACTTACTCTGCAGGTACTCTAAATAAACTCAACCCAATTTTTTCTTCTTATTTTTATTTTTTCCTTCAAATTGTTCTTTAAAGAAGTGTTTTTAAAAAGCACTCTGAAAATTTTAGGACTATGCAGCGGAAAGGAAGATGTTTCTGACCAAAAAGGCATTATCGGCTACTCTCCATCTGCTGGTTATTCCTATGCAGAAGGACTAAGTTGCCAATGGATCCTCCATGGCAAAGCAGGAACACCGGTTACTTTGAGCTTCACTCACATCAACATCTCAAAAGACTTCGATTTCCTTGCTATAAACAATGACAGAATGCAACAAGTAGCTAACTTTTCTGGGATTTACTCGGGTTCTGATCTCCCACAACTGAACTTAACCGGTGAAGTCACAATTGAATTTGCCACTCAAACAGGTACCGGTGAAGGTTGGTCAGCCAACTTCTACATATCTTCCCCGGTTGATCAGAACAGAAAAGCATTCCTCGTAGTGATAGTTATCGTTCTAGGATTTGTTGCGATAAGCGTTTCTCTGGCTTTAGTTGCACTAGCATTGATCAAGAGTAGAAAGTATGAACCCCACGGGATGGACTTGAATGAGAATTGTATGTTAATGAGAGCAGAGGTGAGTCAGGAGGGGGGTCAAATTGGGGAAGGACCTTCTTCAATTGTTTACAGAGCTGTTTCAACAGATGGGATATCCATAGCCATCAAATCTCCCAAACAACCAACTTCAGGGAAAAGACTAGAAGAAGAGATCCTGATCAAGGCTTCATCTCACCCAAACATCATTTCCTTAGTGGGGTACGGTGAAGATGGTACTCGAGGGCGATATTTGGTATTTGAATTCATGGATAGGGGGAGTTTGAGCCGGAACTTGAAAGAAAGAGGCGAAATGCTTGATTGGGAGAAGAGGTTAGCAATAGCATTACAAATTTCCTCTGCAATTCAAATGCTGCACATGTACTTAAGACCACCAATATATCATGGGAACATAAGTAGTGAAAACATTCTTCTTGACGAGGACTACAATGCAAAGTTGGGAGGTTTCGGGGCTTCAAAATATTGCACGAATGAGGGGTTGAATCCCGAAATGCCATCAGAGATGGATGAAGATATTCGGAGTTTTGGGTTATTGCTAGTTGAGCTTCTCAAAGGGGAGCCTATTTTCAATGGAAATGAGAGTTGTGAATTTTTGCGGAATTTTGAAGGGAGTGATGAGGTTCTAGGACGCGGTCAAGAGTGGCTTGATCCACGTTTGAGTATTCCCGGGGAAGAATGGAAGGTCATGGGTCTAGCAAAATTGGGTGAAATAGCGAAATGGTGCATTGGTGGCGGCGGTGGCGGCGGCAGCTGGAGAGTTGGGATGGATGGGAATAGGCCTAAGATTGGTGATCTTGTTTCAGGTTTGGAACAAGTGAAGCAATTGTTTTGTTGTTCTTCAGGCCAAGGGTAAGATCTGGGGAGAAACAGAAGTTGAGGTGTGAAACATTTGAAGATAAAGGTACTAAACATTTGTGTGGATTTGTATACTCCTGTAAGTTTAAATAAAACTTTGTGGTGAAAGTGAGTAATGATGGAACTACATGCAACATGTATTTTGTAATCCATGGAGTGTTAAATCAATGGGTTAAAAGTGGCAATATAAATGCAAAATGGTAGGATCAATAAGAAATACATAAATTAATTACAAATCTTATTTATTTATGTGTAATGTGTCTGGTTCTATTAGGAAACATGTGGAAAAGATGGTACAAGTAACCACCATTTCAAGCCTTTTGATTTATGCACAAATATTGAAAACAAAATCATTTTCTAAACTCCCTAATGCGTCAAGAATATTGAGAATAAAAGTTCATTGATTTACTAAAAAATTTGCGAATAAAAACTCAACAATAATCTGTTTGGTAATCATTTTGTTTTCAGTTTATATTTACAAATATTTAAAAAATTGTCATAAAAACTTGTTTGATAATTTTTTTGATTTATAAATGGTCGTCTCAGTTTATAAATTTGAGGGAAAAAAAATAAATTCAAAAATCGAGTTTACGTTGGTTTTTAAACAGAAATCTAAAAATTTGAATAGCAATTATTTTTTCTATTCTTTTTTTTTCAATTATTTTTTTCCCCATTAATTTTTTTTTCAATTAAATTTTTTAATTATTATTTTTTCAAGGGAGTTTTTTTGATAAATCCATTTTCTAAGAGTTCTATTCCATCCAACCCATATTCTTTTTGACTATTCCATTAGGTCCAATTTGAGATAAGAAGACCAAAATACCCTTTTCATCTACTTATGTTCCATTTAGTTCACATTATTTTCTTATGTTTCAATAAGTCCTATGGGTGACATAATTACCAAAATACCCTTAATGTGAATGTTCACGCCGTCAATGTAAATGTTTATATCGTCAATGTGTAGGGGCCCGACTCATGTCGATCCTCGTGGGTGCCAGGAAAAATTCGAGTCGGGCCGGGCTGGCCCACAAGCTAAAAAAATAGGCCCGAACCGGCCCATTGATAATATGAATATTCACATTGACAAGTTAACATTCACATTGATAGGAGTGTAAAATTGGCCTGCGGCCCGTGGGCGGCCCGAAACCAGCCCGTCGCCCGAGGCGGGCCCGGGCCGGCCCGTTCACAATATGAATATTCACATTGACATATTAACATTAACATTAACATTGACAAGAGTGTACAATTGGCCCATGACCCGTGGGCAGCCCAAAGCCCGAGCCCGGGCTGAGCCGAGCCCGGCCGGTTGACAATGTGAATATTCACATTGACATGTTAACATT